GAGGTGCTGCCTGTCCACTTCTGTAGCGTGTCGGGCGCCAGACATGTCTGGAGACGTGTACAGAATGAAGAAACTCACCTGAAACACAATATAATAACCCCGCCTTCCGCCACAGCAAAAAGGATAACTCGTGTCGAGAATCCAGAGTCGATCGTAAGACAAAGTGCCGAAGGCGCTGCAAATACCATTGAATTTGCTGTCTTCGCCCAGAGTCTCTCGCCACACACGAAACGGTCAGTCGCGGAAAGTCTCGTAAACACCAGCCATTTCGCGTCGCCGGGAAAAACGACGTTTGCCAAACACCATTTAAACCGACATTCTTGGGCCTGAAGAAGTCCCCCCCTACCATCAGAAAAGAAAAAGAAGAACGCCAAAACTTGCTTTTTGGATCCCAATGACCAACAAAAATCCGACGAAGGAGAAGAGTGTAGGCAGAGACAACGGAAGCGCCGTAATCATAGAGGAATTTGGTCAAACTGCTGCTACAGTTACAGAACATTGTCTCGCGGCTACTCATAACGTGATAACCAACGTGCAGAGCATCCAAAGGATGCCATCGACCTGCGAAGACCAAGTGCTGCAGCCACAGAAAAGCGCGGTGAAAACACCCTAATTACAGGGCTTCAAAATCTAGAACATATCAAAAGGAATCTATGCGAAAGGAGATCTGAATAACTACATGCATGTACGTATGCACAAGCATACAGGAGGGACATGGCATGAGTATATGCGCGTGCATATGGGCATCATGTGTGTCTGTATGCATGCATGTATGATGCATGCATGTGTGTTTGGGTGATAAACACAAGCCGCAGCCTAGACCAGAGAAGGGACGAACAAGACAGAGAAAGACAAACATGAAGAGAAAAGCAGAGCGAGAGTGAGAAAGAAATCTTCTTTGTGAAGGCATCTGCGTTCCGCAATATACACACCTGCCGTTCTGTGAGCTGTCTCCTCGTTCTGCTTCTGGTGCCGCTCCTCCGCATCCTTTTGACAGTCATGCACAAAACAGGCCACGGGCTGCGGTTGCCGGGGTGCGAGACGGCTTTAGGTTAAATTGTTTTCAAACCCAGTACTTTGACAGGGTGCAACTCGAACAACATGTTAGGCAATGACCTTCGCCTACCAGATGCAAACACGGCACAAGCAATTTCCAATGCCAGAATGGCAGCACTCAGCACAGATCCGACAGAGACTTAGCGAGAGCTCGCCCAACTACGGTGACAAACGACGAACCTCCGCCTACACGATCTTATTGCACGAGTCGCCTTGATCGCATCCTTCTGCGCAAGATAGCCTTTGCGGCACACATGCTCCGAATGTTGGCCACGATCAAGCCCACGACATTCCCAACGAACTCCGCATCATGCAGCATCAGAGTTGATGAACCATAAGTCACAAACCCCATCAAACAAGACAGACGAACATGCTGAAAGGCGAACAGGTGGCTCTCGTGGATATCTCTCCGAGCATCAACAGTTCGCTGATATAGCGTCTCTTTCTTCTGCAGTTCGTCATCCTTGAACCTTGGCCATGTGCATATCCCTTAGAGTCCGTCGTCCAAACGCTCTTGGTTCATCGGACAGCTAGGCTTCTGCGAGTTACTCTGCGAGTTCGTAGAATGTTGCAGGCCTCCAGTGTTCAAGAAGCTGCAATGGGGAGAATGGGTCGGAGCCATGACGCATGATCTCGTCGCGATGCCGCTTCAACGACTTCTGGACCTGCTCACAGAGAGACGCTCTCCAACGCACCGGAAGGCAGGAGTTTAAATCCAGGGCATGAGGTCCAACTCCAAACGACTCGAGGTCCGCTCCTGGCATGAACTTCTTCTCGCATTGCCGGTCCTAGAAAGTCCTATTGTACCTCGAGTTCGGGGAGAGACACATCGGGACCTTGTTCAGCTCCGCAGAAACCGTGTCTTTCGCAGAAACTGCCGCGCGGTGCTCCTCCACCTGACATTGCGAAACATCGACTCAACCCATGCTTTATCACCTGCTACAACTCACACCGGTCTCCATTGCTTCCCTCGTGTATATCGCAGCTGCAGTAGCAGCACATACTTCCGCCCTGAATGACCACGAATTCAAAGACTCGGTTGAAGTCACTCGGCTGATATGGTCAAACTTTTCCACTTGATGTCAACCAACCTGCTGGCGGAACATTGACGACAGCATCGCTGCGTCCGCGCAAAGGCCTGGTGCGTAGAAGTTCATTGCATTTGGCGCTTTCGTTCAGCAGCATCTCTTAGATTCTTATGAGGATTTGGACGCTATGTCCGCTATGTGTTACAAAAGCAGATCCGCGCATCGAATAGTGCCTGGTGTCCGCGAGTGCTCACATGAATGCTTTCCAGACACCGTCTTGATATGTCTTGAGGCGCTGCAGAGATGAAGCTTTCAGCAGGGTTGCTATCCACCGAAGCCCAGGTCTCCTGCAGCAGCACCTTGATCTTCCTGGGCAAAGCACTCTGCTTGCTTGCCGTTCTCTTTCTTGGATGAGCAGTCCATGCTTCCAACTTCTTCCTCACCTCCAATATAGAAGCCACAATCTGCTTGACAACCTCGGGGCGACGCAGCTTTCCGCCAAGTCTCTCCAGTCGAGGCAGATTCTCGTTTGTGACCTTTCTGCTGGAGGTCCGAAGCAAAGGCAACTAGCTGCATGCACATCACATGGACAGTTACACAACAGGCATGCTTCTCGACAACATTCGTCGGATGTGCATAGTTGGTTGGCATCGGGGTGAAGCTCCGAAGCCGGACTGCTACAAGCATGGGGGCTGGAGGTTCCCCTGCACAAACAGGGGCGCACCTTCTGATTCCGCTCCTTCAAGTCACTGAGCTCCTGGGGACCCACGATGGGAGGCAGCAGGGCCTTTAACAATGTGCAACCTGTACAACGTACATGAGCGAGGCTTCTTCAAGCTAATGAGCGAAAATTTATCCAGCAGTCGTTCTCTTGCTGTCGAAAGGAAGAATCGACCTTCACCGGGTTCACTGCCAGGGCACAGCTCTAGACAGCCCCCTCCAAACATCTGACTCGAAATTGAAAACATCTGACTCTCGCGCATGGTCCTTCTGTACGTTGTGAGTCTCGCCCCGGACGTCCTGCAGCGCCTGAGCAGAAAATGGAGAAGGCATGGTTTGTCACCTACTCCGCGCGCACAAGCACGATACCTGCCATCTGTGTGTTGCAGTTCAAGGTCAGCGGGGACACTGCCCTGACACCCCAATGAACGGAGTGGCGGGGTTCCTGACTTTCGTGGTCTGAGATTAAAACTTTGCTGGCAGCCTCGAGGCATACTGGGCTGCACACTGTACATTGGCAACTTTGAGATTTTTATATCTCCGTCACACGTCGCAATCCGGACCGACAAAGAAGCTGATCGGTCCGTTGTGCGCACACATGCACTCTCCACATGAACTTCCCTCTTCGTCCCAAGACCAGACAAGCTCTAAACAAACCCGAGTCACGTGCTCAAGCTTCGTCTTCTGGTTCAGAAGCGTCTGCGAGACTAAATCCTGCCAGGATCCCGGTTGTCGAAACGACGGTAGGGACAAGGGCATAAGTTATAAGGCTTTGAAGTTTTGATGTCTTCGAGCTAGCACAGCGAGGCTCCAAATGCACCGCGGGTTCTGGGCGGCTTGAAGGCAAAGGCACTTCGCTCACAACCCAGCTGCAAGAGGAGGTCCCCAATCCCCGGAGTGAACGAGGCAAGGTGAAGTCAGGCGAGCTTGTGCCCTCACGACTGCCACCCCTCGCAACACCTTTCGCAGCAGTTCCCGGCAAAGGCACCTTGTCAGCGATCTTGGCCGTAAGCTGCTCGAGGCGCTGATCCCAAGGAGTGTGACCTCGTGCTCGTGAGAAGAATCGGAAGTGATGCACAGCTGAGAGTATGTAAACGTCAACAATCTGCATTTTTGTCAGTAAAGGCACTGACAGCTTCGTCAGAAGCTGCTTCTGGTGAGCCATGTGTGCTTGTATTTCGGACGCTGAAGTCTGCAACCTACTATACTCTTGGATGCGACACTCCAACCGCTTTGCAGAATGCTCCTCGGCCCTCGTCTGAAACTCCCAGCCACTCCGCACCGTAAGACCTCATCTAGAGCTAGACCCACATCCCTGTTAGCAAAAATTCGGAACAGAATTAAAGGAAGGCCTTTGCTCCCATTCAGAACCCGAGGTCTGCCATCTACATCCACGCCCAGGCCCTCCAAAACTCATCGGAGGAGCGTGAGGCTTTGCTCTGCTGAAGCTCGTGGTCGAGTTTCGAGACTGGGCCGGGGACTCGTGGCTTCAGGCTGCAGCGCTTTGCCAGTCGCTTCAGGATACTCGGACAAGCTCTGGGATTGTCGCGCGAGTCACGCCCTTTACATAGGTATATGAATATGAACGTGAATGTGTATGTTGATATGTATATGTATAGAATGCAATGTCATGTCATGTAATGACATGTCATGTCAGGTATTGTTTGTGTAATTTCATGAAACGTCGTGAAGAGGCATGTACTGTCACGTAACGTCATATAATGTCATGTAATGTCATGTAACGTAGTGCAAGGTTATGCATGCATAGATGGATGTAAGTATGGATGCATGTATACATCTATGTATGTATGCACGAATGCACGTATGCACGTATGCATTCATGGATGGATGCCTGGATGCATGGATGCATGGATGCATGGATGGATGCATGGATGGATGGATGGATGGATGGATGGATGGATGGCTGGGTGGATGGATGGATGGATGGATGGATGGATGGATGGATGTGTGGTTGTTTTGTTTGTGTGTATGTGCGTATGTGTGCCCTTGTACATTACAAATTACGACACAAACCAGTTTTAAAACGAGCTGAACAAATGCCGGTCGAGCTGGACGATGTCGAGTCACGAATTTTATAGCTTTATGATGGCCGCAAGGCCCCTGTTTCACAAGCCCACTCAACTGATGGAAGCCTTCATACCAGCACATCATAGACCCTGGCATGCCCCATCAAATCTGGATGTTGCCGAGCTTCACTTATCAAAGAGCTCGGTGATCTCCTGTCGAATATCCTCACTCTTCACGAGCCTCGGAGATCGGTGAGCTCTTTGAAGGAAACTCTCACTTCGATGACCGATGCATTGTTGAAACACGCCAAGAGATAAGAGCAATTGACCCGGGGATACGGCTTGCCGTTCCTCCACTGAATCGTCTGCCCGAACCTCGCTATCCGATGTCAGCTCGGCGTTTGCAGCTTTATACATGTGCTGTCTCTGAACCGCAGCTTTACACTGTGTCCTGACGTCGGCAGAGGCTGTATGGATTCTCAGTGTCATGCAGCAGGTGACTCCCTGCATCCAGGAGGCTTCATTCTTCTCAGCTGCTTCTCCATTGCGTGCCTCAAGCTTTTGGCATGGACTCCGCACAGCCAAGGAGAGCAGCTTCAGGGGAGGATAGCAGTGTCTCCCCTATACTCGCGTACATGAAGCCTGCGGTTGCTGTGATGCAGAGCGGCATAGAGCGTGAGATTCGGAGAGGGGGGGGAGGGACGAACTCTGCCTACCTTGGACCACGCTCAATTCCAGGACCCTCTGCCCAAAAGAACACCAGAAGGTTGGAAGCTGCATCATGTAACGAAGCACAGGTATCTGTGCATCCAGGACGCATCTCCTTAGATCCAGTTGGGCAAAGGAATCAGCCAGCAGCAGCCACACGAAAAAGCACTGTCTTCCCGGGTCAATCGTTTGCGAACCTAAGGATATGAGCCACTCAGGCGAGCAGCGGCTGCTACGAAACTAGTTGTAACTAGCTGGTCGTCAGCCAATACTCAACGTGCTGCGTCACCTGCCCCAAACAACAACCCTGGAATCCCTCTCAGAGACTTGCTGAGCACCGTATCATGCCAATTAACCCCGGCTTCTTGAGAAGTGCAGGCAAGCAGTAAGGCTACATTTCAGGGATCTCTCTCTCTCTCTCTCTCTCTCGTCACTGATTTCAACTGAAGACCGGAAGCCCCGTACTTGCCCCGCATTGAGTGTTCTCGAGGTTCCCCAAACCAATGTGGTGTGGCCAAGCGGCTGCGAACATTGCGCGGAAACGCGTGGGGAGATACCTCACGATGACCAAGCAGACATGACGTCCAACTATTACTACAGCCTCTCTACCGTCGTCAATGTCTCGTCTTACACCCCTAGCACGTTGCTATCAAACATGACCCGGAATCGCATCACCTCCATCGGCACAAAAAGGCTCTGCCTGGTGAAAGGGAAACCGCAGTTCTGCGAAAAGTCCCAGCAGCGACGGCTGCGAGATGACATCGTTGCCCATTGCATGTGCACTCCTCAGGTCGGCTCCCGTTTACTGCGGCGCTGGCTGGCGGCGATTGGACCCGGGGAGAACTCAGAGCTTGGCTTGACGTACGCGTACGGCCCGTCTTCCTCTGCCTCAGCACTGACAGAAAGCTTCCACCAACCCGTCTTCTAACAGGTTATGATTCGAAGCCATTAAACCGAGGTCGGGGAGCAGCCGGCAGTCGAGCAAGCGTGTAGAGCTCTGGCGGTTTGTCCTTGGTAGCCAGGCCCAAACCTTAACCTTCCAACACCCAGCTGATAGCACCCATCAAGGGGCGCATTTGCAGGCGAAAGCAGTACGACGCGGCTCACTCGCACTATGCAAATGAAAGGCACATTTTCGAAGCAAGCTGCCATCTTCCTAGACTGCGCCCGCACGAGCTCGGAGAGCTGTGCCTGAGGAGGACTGAGACATGATTTTTGTGCCCGGGCCTGAAAAACGCGGATTCGGGGCACTCTAAGTTTTGGCCTGGGATTGCAATCCTTGAAGCGGTCTTCTTTGACAGTCCACTCACCCGAACTACGCGGGCAGCCCAAAGCAGCACCAATCGTCAACTCCCTGCGTTCATGACCCAGCAACACACGAGACTGTAACATCGCCCAAAGTGCCTCCGTCCTCTGCAAACCCCCGGAGCATCCAAACTACAGGGTGGCATCATTATCTCCAGCTATACAAGAAGGAAGTACACAGAGAGGAGAGAACAATTAAGATGCTCATCGGCTCTGAGGCATCAAACCAAAGCTGCAGCGGCGCTACCATGCGGCCATCACTAGCCGCCGGCTCCCGGCCAAGTTCAGCATGGAGCACCTAAACTTGCCACTCTTCGTGCGTGGGTCTTCCGCCGGGCCGATTGCGCTCTGAAAACCCCTGAGCCTTGGAATACTCTGGCCTTGCCGTATTGCACGTGAAAACGGTTGGCGACGACTCTTCCACTTGTGTAGAGTTCAATCGTCCTACCCAAAGGCTGGGCAGAGAACTTGCTGCTGCTTGCAGTCAGGGCACGGCTTGCTGATAGAGGATTGAATCGATCCTTGGAATTGTGCCGTGTTAAGACTGCACGTCTGCATCAGCCACTAAAGAACTGTCTTGTTGCCTGCATGCTGCTTGTTTTACACAAGATATATCGGAGGCTGAAAAGACCACACGAGTCCAACACAAAATTGACAGAATCCGATGCCCGAACTACTGGTTGTGAGGCTAAGAGGCATCCCGTCATGGCTGTGCACACTTTCGAACATGTTCATGACCTGCGAGGTTCCCGGATTCGGTATCCGTAGCGGGCCGGGAGGCAGCTGTCGTTCTCGTGTCGAAAGCATCCCGGCCGCAGTGCCGGCTGATGCAAGCCCCCAGCACCCTGCAGTCCGAGTGTCAGCTCCGACACCAAGGCATCACGGCAGTTCCTTGCGGGGTCATGTCGAGGCAAGGCCGCCCCAACCGCCCGGGGCCCAAACACACGTCAAACTGCAACCAGGGTCAGCAACCCCACGATGTCGGACACACTGGGAAGGCGCTGCCTCAGGCACGGAGGAGCCCAACACAGCAGGTTTTAGGCTTTCCGGCTCACAGGCTTGAACTTGGATGAGACACTAGGAAATTCTACGGTCGCATCTCTAAGGCCAGGCTGCTTCAGCGCATGGCTCGCAAACACCTCTGTGCATGGCGCAGCTGGGTCAGGAGCTTGGCAGTTTTCGGCACGGCGTCTATAACCTATGAAAGGAATATGCGACTTGATGATGGAATCTGGGAGTGCACTCTGGGAGGTTGCATTGACAGGATGGAGGGCCAATCCTCCAATCAAGCCTCCAGCTGGGCCTCTGCCATGGCAACGAGAGCCTCCCAGCTCTCCTTTCATGGTTTCGCTGGTGCATGCGAGCTGTTCACCATGATGATGGCGACAAGTCATCAAGAATGGTGGTGGTGACGGTGTGGGGTGGTTTTGCATCATCACTTGCATGCATAACAGCGGCAGTGGCAGCAACAATACGAGCATCAGTATTAAAATCGGCAGCACCGCGCCAGCAGCGTCAACACCATCGTCACCACCACCACCACCGCCACCACCACCACCACCACCACCACCATGGCACCTATGAAAGCAATGAGTGATCCTCGAACATGCCTGTGGGCATCTGAAGCCTTGACCCATGGCTGGGAGCTTGCCAGCACAGTTGCGGTTGACCCGACTCCAGGCACATTGCCCCCCAAAACTCTCGTCTCTCACATCCCGTTTGACAGGTCATCCCTCACAAGTTCGTCTTCGCTCCCTCCGTCTCAGTCCTCCGTCTCGGGGCCCAACGTTGTGAACCTGAGTGCTTACGTGCTTCATGTGGGACAGCTCCTTGGCTCAAGGCAGCAACGCCAGGGTGAACGTCACCCTGGGATCAAATGGGGCTGTGAGTTGTGTTTGGCTGCTGAGCGGCTCGTCCAGGGAGTGCATGAAGAAGAGGATGTCTAGCCTGCATCAATGCCAGCTCACTCTATGCCAAACGGACAAGCCTTCACTGCATTAGAGAATCAGTGGCCAGACTAAGGTTCCAAGCGATGAACGGCAGAGCACGCCACTTGCGAGTTGTCAAGGTGTAGAACATGCTCTTCAGGATCCTTTGTGAAGCTTTCAACACCACAACTCGAGCTCCACCGCGGATTACGGACATTCAGGATAATCAGAAGACGCAATACAATCTGCGGCCTGAGGCGGTTGATGATACAACCTCGGGTGGCACTTGGCACTCTCTGCGTAATCTTCCGACTTTTTCGAGGACTCAGCTCTCTCTTCTTCCCCAGGGCATGCGGGGTCTGTCAAACCCCCCGACCAATAGGCCCCCCACAATTTGTGAGGCTTTCGGGAGGATGTGAGAAGGTTGATTGTCATATGGGGCTTATTTTTGAAAGGTCGTTTGTCCCCATTGACAATTTCAGTACAAATTCTTTGGGACACCATGTTTCCCCTACGTCTGCTACGGTCAGAGGACAGCTAGCATAACTGAACACAAAACAGCTCTCTCTCTCTCTCTGTAACTTATGCCTGTCGTGTGGCGATATTTCTCCAGGACGAGCTCTTCCTGCAGGTCGGCCTGCAGTCCACAGTCCACGCGCAAGCTACTCTCTGCTTCTTCGCAAGGAGCAACCTCCACTCCCTTGCTTGCTTGCTTGCTTGCTGGGGGTTTGGGTCAAAGCCCCCGGCCCGTAGGCCAACCCCTCAACGGTCCGCACTTGTACGTCTGAGCTACCCCTTTTCGGGGAAGGAAATCTGTTCCCCCCAGTGTGCCTTTGCAATCCCCTCCCCCAAAACACCCCTGCTAAGACCGTGACCATAGGAAACCTTCTGAGGCATCACTGGGGTCATCCAGCGCTTCCTTTTGGGACGTCAGCGGGAGCTCCACTCCCCTGGATGGTAGAGGCCCAGCATCTAACACACGACACTAAGCTAGAGCAAGCTAGTGGGTTTGCCAGGCTGAGCTCTGCCATCGTATTTACCGGACTAACCCAACCTACCTGCCTCCCCACCTGATCCTGAACGCAACCTCAGCGGCAGAACTACCTGGCACCTTCCCACCCCCGAATCCTCTACTCTGGCACTCCCTCTCCTTCTCTCTCTCCCGGGCATGAGGGCGGGTCAAGGCCCCTCGGCACCCGAGAATTCCGGGCCCCGTGAAGGGGTCTGAAGCGAATTCCTATTTCCCTCTTGCTTGCTTGCTTGCTTGCCTTACCCTCGAAGGGGTTCTGTCCGTCCGGCGTCCCACGCCACAGTCGGCGTGATGCCAGGAAAACGGGGAGGTCCCCCTTTCGTACACCTTTGACCCCACCTCCACACCTATCCCCGCCTGGCAGCCCAAACCAAACCCCTCTCTCCCTCGCTCTTCCTTCCTTCCAGCCGGTTCAGGTCTGCGTGTGCAGACCGGCGCCTAGGCGCCCCCCCTCCCTATATATGGTACATTAGGGAAGAGGCTTTGGGATTGTGAGAGCGGTGTTCCCCCCGACGGATTGTTCGTGTTGGAGAGGTCGGTATCTGCAGGAGCCCCCCAACCCTGAACTTTGACCTATCATCAGGCCTCATCTCTCTCTCTGTCGCTCTTTCTGCCGACTTCGGCGCTCACACTCGGACAGTCCAGGCGAGGCAGATGACGACAAGCCCACAGCAAATTCAAGCGAAACGATACCTGGCACCTCTGGAGAGAAAGAACCCACGACACCTATTCCCCGATTTCAGCAGCCATACTTGGACGTACCTGGGCGAGGTTCCTGGTACGACGACGGCACATTGGCCACTCCACAAAGCAGAAGCGACGGCAGATTCACCGACACAACACAGAACTGGCACTACCTCTCCTCAGTTCAATTACTCACCACAAGAACATACACTCTGGCACATCAGCACCTCATACTCTCCCATCTCATGTCGTTCGAGGCTTCCGAAAGGCTTGCGACGGAGACATGACCCTGCCGATGTCAGCGGCCCCGGTTAGGGCTCTCTCGCACGCTCTCTGCGTCTCGCGGTCTCACATTCAAGCACAGTTCCGCCGGGCCTGACCGTGCGCCTCTGCATGAGCCTGCGGCATCCGAGCTCTTGCCTCTCCGAAAGGCACAGGGTTGGTAGGCCGGCTTACCTTCGCCACCAATGCAAGCTCGACTTATTCACCTGACCTGACCATCGAGCGGACGAAGCTAGGGAAGGCCAGGCGTCGCCACCAGCAGTGAGCACATCACAAGGGGTGTCTTAGATCCGTTGCTTGTTTGCATGCTGAGCCTGCTCTGGTGAGGGCTTGCCGACTCAGTGGAGTTGGATTCCATGGACCCGGTGTTCTTTCTCAAACTCGTCCGACTCCGAGCCAACCCTTCACACATGCAAGTCCCGAACAACCACGAGGATGACCGGTTATGTGGCGGAGACAGCCTTTGGGTTGGGAGGCCCGTCCTAGCCAGCACGCGGCAGACTTCAGACTGACTCTGGACAAAAAGGGAAACCGAGGAGAGCAGCTAATGTTGCGCAGCTTGCCAACATGCAATGGTACCAAAGCCTACCAACTATTGGAATGTCTCTGTGTTTCCTTGGTCCTGTCGACTTTGACTTGAACATGGCCACGGATAACTCACAATATCCCATGGCCGCTTACACCCGCCTAGCCGAATCGGAAAGAACCCGTGGCAACACTACAACTCCGAAACAATCAAGTGCTTGGATAGAAAGGTGTTCATGAAGAGTGTTCAACTCCGGCGGGGCAACCCCTTCAGGACTTCTTGCCCTATCCCAGCAGCAGGGTGGTGAGCATTTTGCACCGGGCCCGTGCGCTGCCGCAAGCCGGATAAGCAGCCACTGCACAGTCTTCGAACGCCGTTCGGCAACATCGCCCTCCAAACAAGGACCCCTTGCGACTTCCACCTCGTTTCACGACAGGGTGGAACCCCAACCCCCCCCTACGACCATGTAGGCATATTGGGTCAGCACTAGAATCTAGCTCTTACAACCCCTGAACGCACGAGCCAGGAAGTTGAAACCCCTGAACCTGTAGCCTTCCTCAACCGCCTGAAGCCAGAAGTTCGGTTCAGTGCAAGCCGGAACCTCATTCTTCAGCGCCAAGGGTACTGATTCTACTCAGGCATTGTAAGTGGCGGTGGCTAGCATGATCTTTTATCGTGGCAGGTGCTGACTCTGCCATCAGAATCTGGCGACTGACGCCAGGCGGTTACCATCTTGCCTAGATCCAAACTATGTGCTGATTCAGGATCATGTCGATGAGACCCATCACCTTGAGCGCTGTTTTCACATCACAGGCATGGATTCTGCTGTACCAGTTCTATGCTAGTACTAACTTAGTACTGCACAATTGCTCTTGCTCAACCATTCCCAACCTTCTACACAACACGAGCACCAGTGCCGGTACTATTTCTGGCTAAAGGACTGCTTCTGAGATTGCCATGGCCATAGCCATCACGGGCAATACCGGTGCTGCCGGAAACAATCGCTGCTACACTCTGCAGCCGTGGCAGGGAAAGACGAACACCGCTATTGCTGTTGAGACCGGTTCCGTTACTACTCCTGTGCCTCCTATTGCTTCTACAAGACTACCAATATTGTTGCCAGTGCTCTTGCGATCAAGGGCACTTTCATGGTTGCTCCTCCCGTCCTCCCTATTTTCCCAGCAGCAGCAGCAGCAGCACCACCACCACCACCACCACCACCACCACCGCCACCACACTGCTCTACTACTACTACTACTACGACGACGACCGTCCACTACCACTGCGACTGCCAGTACTACTGTCACCACCACTACCACTACCACTACGACTACGACGACAATGACGATCGACACACCACTACTACTTCGCCTCCTCCTCCTACTCCTGCCGGCGACCGCCACCACCCCAGCAACAGAACGGCCAACACCTGAGAATCGTACTCACACTCTCCCCTCCAATCCCTGAAGCGGCGAGGAATGATTCGCACGTGTTTCTGGTGCAGGGATACCCCAATCTCAAAAGACCGTTCTGAGTTGACACGTGCCGGGGCAGTATCTGCTACAACTGCTGCGACTTCACGTTTTCGCTTCTCGGCTCATTGGCCCAGGTCACCGTACAATGACATGTCTCTGAACCCCGACCCTCCGCTCGAAAGTGGATCAAGCAAAGGTGCCGCGTAGGAGATGAAAAACTCGGATGCACGGGCCGGAAGACCTCTTCTGTGGCTTCTAGATACAGGCAAAACGTCGGGGCTTTACTTCTTTGCTATGCTGTTGGACGCTTCGTGTTCTGGTCATTCCCCTTGAAAGGTTGCGGAGCATTCTCTCTTGGCGGGTCCAGGTAGGCAGGAAAGTTGACGCTCACACTCGGACTAGTCCAGGCATGGTCTGAAGATGAACTAGCAACATGTCGAAGGCCTGGAGTTCACTTCCCTCAACAGCCATGCCGTCAGCTGCGTGCCAGAGGGGACGGCAGGACTTGGGGTCAGGGCTGGGAGGGATGCAGAGCATCAAGATTGGGTCAGATCCTTGAAGTTGCTGTGAGTGGGAAGACCGACATGCTTTGCAATGAAGCTTGTGGGACCACCGTCGAATTCTTCCGGTCCCATCTGACTCACACAAAAAGCTATCCAGTTCATCACGAAGCCGACCTCGAAAACCTCGCGCATCCAGGAAAATGTGATGTCCTTGGCTTCGTGATAAATCGAAAGTGCATCCTGGTTAAAGATGGTAAATGGTAAACGGAACTTTAAGGCCATCAGCGGCACACACTACATACTCTCAGAAGCAATGTCGGCCCTGTGCGTTGCAAAAGCGGTCGAAGCAAACGAGTCTGCCGAGCCACGCATGCAAGAAATCGGCTGGTTTGGCGGAACGATCAGCATCCTTCCGGATCAGTCGCATAAGTGCGGTCGCAACACAGCGTCATCTGCACGCGTCTGTCCCATGCATACCACTGCGCTGCCCATTACATGCATGTGTACTGTAGATAGTGTCCTTGCAATACTTTCCCATCGTCACGGTCAGCATTGCATGAGAATAACTGCCATTCTCTCTCTCTCTCTCTCGAGGGGCCCTCGCGTCAGTGCAACCCCTTCCACCATTTTGATGGAACAGACTCTGCTGTACTGGGATGGTCCCTCACTGCTTGTCGGGTTCCAGCGGAGTAGAGTACCCCCGCGGCAGCAAACAAGACAGCATCATCACTCTCTCACAAGGTTCGGGCAAAGACCAGCGTAGCCGCCACTAATGGCTGCCACTAATTTCTTCATGACTTTCAGCCGTGTCAAGGTGCCATTGTCTCATGATATTTCGTCCTGTCAACCCATCCATGTCCGTTTTTCTTATCTCCCTGGTCAGCTGCTGCACGTTTACGATGGTGACTGACAGAAATGCCAACGTGCTCGCTTTTTCGCGGCAAAAATCGGTCCAAGGTCCTGCCTGAGCAAGACAGGCAGCCCAGGTCTGGGCCTTTTGGCCAAAAGCCGAAAACCTGCAAGCATGTCTCGACTGGTCCTGGCAACAGCTGTATCAGCCGGGTAAGCCACAAGAACCTGAGATGTGCACCTGCTCAGCCTCTAGCATGCAGGCATAAGCTGACTTTGCGGTACACACAAGTGACCGTGCATGCATGCCATGTGCAAAGATCTGTGCAGCGTGACCACATCAATGTAAGCATCTTCAAACTCAGGGGGTGGCAAGCGAGCCGGCCAGGTTGCTTTTGAGGGCTGGCAGACTTGACTAATTGAGGAATGGAAGTACTTTCCTTCACATCAACTTCGCCGAAGTCACTGCCGTCGCTGCCGCCACGCCGTAAGCCAGGGGCGGATTCAAATGCGCAGAAAGCGCGTCGCCTAGGCTATGGAGAATATCGATCCTGAGAAACTGCCGGTTTTCAATCTTTTGGACATGCCAAGGATAGCTCTAGCACCACTCTGCCAGACTTCTGCCCAGATGCGTAGTCACTTTTTCGCAGGCTTGGAACTCTTGTGGCGACCAGGATTTGCGGTTTACACGCCGCGGTTCGAAAACATCGTTTGCTGTCCACGATATTTTGGCGCTGCTCTGGCCAGTCATAGTACCGAAGCCGAAAAGGCCAATGCTCAGCAAATCTGTGCAGCAATGTTGATCTTGCTTGTGCTCACGCAACGATGAGTTCTCCAGCATTCCAAGGCCCAAGCGCGTGCAAAAGAAGGTGCCGTCGAAAACCGACGAGCAGACCGCCTGCTTGACTTCTGTGCATTCGCAACGAAACAGAATGCCTATCGGCTTGCATCAAGGGTCTGTTGGGTCCCGATCTACCAAGAAGACCAGATTGCAAACGCCACACAACTACCGTACACAGCCAAGGTCCTGTCAAAGGAGGAGCGGTATGGATGGGTAGAGCACTGCAGGATGCTGCGGAGATGTGATGACATCAACCCCAGCGACATGCTGAGAAGTCAATTATGCCGCTATGCCCCGAAGCTTCGCATGCATTTCGAGATCCCAGGCAGCCGCGGCGTGCATCCGCCGGAGAAGTCCAGTCCTCGAAGCTGCAGAGAATTTAGATGTCGCCTCATGGAGTTTCCACTTTCTCGGCGCATCGCGCACGACAAAAAGGAACCTAGTGGGCGACTCTTGCAGCTGTAGGTGCCGCAGCTGGCCGGCGCGTGCGGCGTCGGAGATAAGATGGCCAAATCCTGGCAGAAGCGGCTCCCGTCAACAAATTAACCTACCATTGACACTGCGGCTGAAAGTCAATCCCTAATCAGAATAGTTTTTTTTTTTGTTTGGGGGGGG